GTTCTGGATGTTTCTTTGATGGTTTATATTCTACAGCAAATATTCAATTAACACTTCAAGCAACACCTATGTTTGGAGATTATAATCCATAAATTAAACCAAGTGGATCTACTGGTTCAGTTAATACTAATGCTATTAATATTATTTTATTAAATGATGCTATGTGGTCATTATCACCAAATAAGGTCGAACTACTTACTAGTGTTGATTTAGATACTATGTTCAAATAAAATGATAATATATTTAATCTTTATTTTTAGTAATGAATGGAAGTATTTTCAACAGCTTATCAAGATAAAAGTAAAAATAGTGTTTTTTGCACATTATATTTTAATCCTTCTACAATAACATCTAATGAAATTACAACTGATAAAATTACAAGCATAGATGGAATAGTAAGTATAAATACAAAAGATATTTCTTCGACTGATTATATAAATTCTGAAATATTAACATATTATAATAATCTAAAAGTTACAGCGACAATGTAGCATTAGTATGTAATACATATTCTGATATGATTGCATCAGCGTGTAACTCTTACAGCGACAATATTGGTTCTTCATGTAATGCTTACACAGATACAAAAATAGCTTCAATACCAACTCCAAAAATGATATATTTATATCCAAATATAATTTCACAAGATGTGACAACATATAAAAATATTACTTATTCTATTAAATCAGAAACTGATAAAACTGCAAATTTCAGAATAAAAATTGATAATGTTACAGAATTCTTAACAACAAATAGAACAGTAAAGGTAGTTCCATATGTAATTATTAATAATGAAATTTATAAAGTTATTGAACAAGTTAGTAATGCAAGTATGTTGAATGGAAAAATATATACAACAGTACAAAATTCATTTAATGTAAATGAGCATCCAATAATAATAATAATAATACCAGATACAGTTGGTTATTTTGGGGGTGATGGATTTTATTGTTTTAATTATTTCAGTTTATATTTACCAAAGAATTTTACATCAGATAGTAATTTAACACCAATAACAATTAAACCAATGTGTGTTTATTTATATTGTAATCTTAATAATTTATTTTATCCAGGTATTAATTATTCAGGAAGTAATCCTTATTTAATGTGGAATAATATAACTATAGATAGTAATCAGATGTATCTAATAGAACCAAATTTACAAATAACAAATACATCATCTATTACAGAAACATGTAAAGGTTCTTCACTAAAAATATATATGTCATTTAAAGCTGTTTCTAATTTTACAGATTATAAAACATATATTATTAATTCATTAGGAAGAACTACCACAACAACAATTTATGATAATTTTGAATCAAGTGTTGCTTATAATAATTATAATTCTAGAAACGATTTATGGTAATTTTTTAAATCACTAACATAATCGAAGATTCCATAATGTGTTTTTTTTTCAAATCACTATATGGTTGAATTAGAAAAAATAGTAGAATTAGCTTCATTATTATCATTTAGATTTCTGATAATATTTATTACAATATTAAAAATATTTACATATTTGTTTGAAAAGAGATTATTCAAATTAAAAGAACAAAAAATATTAACAACAGATATAACACCAAGAATACATAGTGTTTAAAACACTAACTCTAACTGAACAATAAAATAATATTCAGAATCAATATTGATTATATTATTTTTGTAATCAGTAAACCATATTTTTATTTTTTTTTATTGTCTTTGATTTCAAATGATTTTGGATTATCACTGTTAGCAAAAATTATAAAACTATCTTGTGAAGGATAATCATTAAAAGTATTCAAATGACTTCTTAAAATATTTCCACAATCAATCTGACCAGATGAATTATAGAATCTAGTAGCAATAGTGTTAATATACTTATTATTAGTAGAAGAAACAAATTCAATTGGTAATTCAACTTCAAATTAATATGTATTTATTACTTTGCAATTATTATTATGTAAATTCATATATAATTTTCTCATTTTATAAAACAAAAAATAAACATATACATAAATAACTTAAATTGTAAATTAGTCTCGCGTAGATTATATTCGATTCGACTTTATTAGTAATATTGAATTAGATGCAATCGTGAAGTACAAAAAACACGGAATTGTTACAATTTTATCATTATCATCAAGTTTACATACTATGTTACCATGATCATATCTTATCATTGTTGCTTTTGTACTAAAATAATTTCTTGTCTTTCTGAAAGTATTGTTATTGCTATTATCCAAATATATTATTAACTTGTCTCCATATTTATAAGATAAAAATCCATTTTCAAATTGTTTATATAATATTTCATCATTCTTCTTAACCATTTGATTAATAAAATCATATTCAAGTTGATAGCATTTATACATATTGTTGTAATTTGGTATGTATTGCATATCAATAGGTCGATAACCAGTTTTATTATGTTTTAAAAAAATATAGTAAGTAACAATTTCTTGAATAAGTATATCTTGATTTTTGTTTACGTATCTCGACAGTGTATTATCATAAGCAGTTCTAATTGTTCTAATAACTCGATCTACAACTCTGTTTTTATTAATATGTTTGGATGAAGATGAATATGTTCTTATATTCAATTTATTGAAATAATTTGACATAAAAGTGCTGTACAATGCAGATTCACCATCAAAACGTATGTTATCAAAAACAACTCCAACATTAAGTAAAGTATTAAAAGGCATTATTAAACTGTCATTGTTTTTATTATAAAGTGAAAATACATATAAATATTTTGTGTTAATATTAATAATGAACATGTAGATATTTTGTTTGGTACTGTTTCCAGAATCAAAGAAAGCTAAATCAACTTCATAACTATTAAAATATGGAGAGTAATAAAGTCTTGAATACAGTTTTTTCATGGTTTTTGGATTGAAGTCTTGACTAATAGTTTGTTTCTTATTGACATCTTTCTTCAAAATTGATTCATATTTTTTTAACTCTTAAATAGATAATCAATTGTCAATTTGTTAAATGGTATATTTTCCATATACATTGTATTTCTGTGTTTATTTACTATTTGTTCTCTACGTCGTAATCTTCTTGTTTTGTGTTCTAGAATTTGTTTTTGTTTAATATTTATATCTTCTCTAAAACTCATTTCTAAATTTATTAATACTAAAATTCCATTTTATGTTAGGAATAGTATATAGTAGGTCGAATTTCACCGCCAAGATGTTTGTCTAGTTTTTTAAAATTATTTTATAAAAAGTTCAAAAACGTATTTTTCGACTTCTAAAAAATTGTATGTTTTACATTAAAATACATAAAATCATTTGAAAATCAAAATATTAAAAAATGGTAAAAAAAATTGAGGTAATATCCTTGGTAAATAATTTTGGAGGTGATAGGTGACCTACTATATACTACTCATTCCTTTTTTTAAACTTTGCATTGAAATATTCTTTTTTGGTTTTCCCAAACACTCCTCAAGTATTGGA